AACTTCAATTCTACCGATCCTTGCTTTTGTCAGATTAACCAATTGACAAGGGTAATCCATCGCTTTTGATTCTGCAACTTCAGTTCTAGTTACTGGAGAGAAAGGAGACTTGTTTGAGAGAATCATGAGAAAATGGGGTTGATGCCTCAGCTTATAGCATTATGGTCACAGGGCTTTGGAAAAATGCTTGTCAAAGGCTCATCATTAAATAGCAAAGTGCCTCTGAATCGCCCATCATCATTAAGGGGGCACTGTAAAATTGGATTATTTCGGGAGTTGCATATGCCTTTGAATAAGATAATTGAAAATCGGCATTTGGCTTCATTTTTGGGTGGTTATCTCTTGTCAATTCAATGCTTGAGTTGGCTGGGAAGGTTTTCTCACAAGGATAGGCGGCAAGATGAGAGAGAGGTGAGTGAAAGATTTTAGCGTCATTCATTAAAATGTTTGAGATGAAAATATATTATAAAATAAGGTCATATGGGTCTGAAAGATATAGTTTTTGAAAAATTAATGACGCTCGATAGTTTTAAATCCATAGATCTACTAAAAAATGGTACACCAAATTAGAGTTTACTAAAATATTTCCCCTAAAAAATACAACATAACATTCACAAACAATTCGTATTCTCAAAAGTTCCTTCTATTTTCACATGAAAACAAACAATTGAGCCAAAAACGTTTTAAAATAAATAATTGAGCCAAAAGCATGGTGCGCTTTATGTTTGTCGAGGAAGTTTGTCAATCCTTTCTTATATGGTTCTCTCCTCAATAATCAATCAATTATCTTAGACCCGTTTGATTTTTTGGATTTCGCTTTTTTATAGAACAGGTGGACCAATCGTATTTGGTTCGCTTCGAATTGACATTATGTTCGAATTGAGATTTCCGTGGGATTCATAATAACTCATTTTAAGCCCAAATTTTGGAAATCTCAATTCCACCAAAATAGGTGGAATTGACATTTCATGGAAACCACCCATTTTTTTATGGACCCATCAATGTGCTGCGGTAAGTTAGATTGAACGTAACACTAGAGGCGCTAAAAACCTATGCTATTTGCTTCTAAAGAACAAAAACATATTAAAATTTTAGAGAAGAAAACTATATCAAATTTTAAAGAGAGAAAATATATTAAAATTTTAGAGAGGGAAACTACATCAAATTTTAGAGAGAAAAAAACATATTAAAATTTTCCAGAGAGAAATTATATCAAATTTTTAGAGAGAAACTATCTCAAATTTTCAAAGAGAAACTATCTCAAATTTAAATTTTTAGAGAGAGCATCTTAAAATTTAAAAGAGAGAGATAAACTATCTCAAATCTTATATTTTATATCTTAAAATTTTATAGAAAGAAACGATATTAAATTTTAAAGAGATGAACTAAAAAACGTTTAGAGAGAAATATCTCAAAACTTTAAGAGGGAGAAACTATCTCAAATTTTAAGTTTTAGAGAGAGAGTACAGTAAAATTTTAAAGATAGAAACTATATCAAATTTTAGATAGAGAAACTACCTGAAATTTTTAGAGAGAGAAACTATCTCAATTTTAATTTTTAGAGGGATAAAATATCTTAAAACTTTAGAGAGAGAAAGTAAATCAACTTTTATATAGAGAAAGTACCTGAAATTTTAGAGAGAGCAACTATTTCAAAAAATTTAGATAGAGAAACTATCTCAAATTTTTAGTTTTAGAGAGAGAAAGTATATCGAATTTTAGATATAGAAAGTACCTGAAATTTTTACAAAAAGAAACTATTTCAAATTTTTAGATAGAGAACTATATCAAATTTTAAGTTTTAGAGAGAGAAAGTATATCAAATTTTAAGTTTTAAAGCGAGAATATATTAAAATTTTAGATAAAGAAACTATCTGAAAAATTTAGAGAGAGAAAACATCTCACAATTTTAGAGAGAGTAACTATATCAAATTTTAAAGTGACAAAGAATCTAAAATTTCTTAGAGAGATAAACTATCTTAAAAATTTTAGAAAAAACTATCTCAAATTTAAAGTTTTAGATAGAGAAAGTACTTTAAAAGTTTAGAAGAGAAACTATATCATATTTTAGAAAGAGAAACTACATGAAATTTTTTAGATAAGAGAAACTATCTCAAAGTTTTTAAATAGAGAAACTATCTCAAATTTTAAGTTTTAGAGAGAGAAAGTATCTCAAAATTTTAGAAAGAGAAACTATATCAAATTTTAGAGAGGGAAAGTATCTAAAAATTTTTAGAGAAACTATCTCAAAAATTTTAAAGAGATAACTATTTCCAATTTTAAGTTTTTGAAAAAAAGCATGTTCAAATTTTACAAGAAAAACAAATATCAAATTTAGAGAGAGAAACTCTCTCAGAATTTAGAGAGAGAGTGAGACTATCTTAAACTTCGAGTTTTAGAGAGAGATAGCATATCAAATTTTGTTACCAAACAATGGACATCAAAATGATTGTAAAGAAACAATAAATTTTTCATTGCATATCCAAACAAGAGATTTGAGGAATCTGTGACAAGAATATTTGATATTAAAAATCCATAGATTTTTTTGGATATTCAAAATTTCTAATTTCCTCCTATCCAAACAGGTCCTAACAATTCTCTCTCTTTGTTAAAGGGAATTATATTGTAACAAATTGAAATTGGATTTCTGGTTCCTGCACTATTTTCTTTCTCTAAAACTTTTCTCTCTTTGCCGGAGGGAAACTTATCTTGCATCACTTGGTTCCCTTTCTTTATCTGGATGGATACTTGTTTCTCTCTTTTCCTTGAGTAGAGATTTGTCTTAGAAGGAAGTGTTTTAAGAGTTGATGGTCATTTACAAATATTTATTAGATGTTAGGCTGAAGAGAGAGAGAGAAAAAAAAATCTTCTCCAGCTACCTTTGTTGATGTTATTCTAGAGAGATAGAGAGAGACGTGTAGCTGGCTTGGTGTTTGAAAAGGGTGCAAGATCTATTTCTTGACATTGCATGGAGGAAACGATAGAGAAAAAGAGAGACGATTTGCATTTTCAGAAAAAAGATATTCGAAGTAATCCAAACAGTGAATCAATATTTTCCAAGCTTCTGCTAAATGCAATCCAAACAATATACATCATATTTTAGGAAATGTCAATTGGAGTAAATACTAATTCTAGGATACACTTTTCCACAGTATTAAAAATCCAAAAAACTAAACAAGCCCTTAAAAGGCCATTTGATTACCATGTCAAATTGTTATTTGGACAAATTTGACACTTCGTAGCCATCAATTTAACCTTGAATGGTGGTTTGATTGACAAATTTAAATTAATTCTCAAGCATAATGATTCCCAAATTGAGTTATCTTGGAAGTCCTAGTTGTTTTATAAAGAATTTAAGTGGGCTCTTACATTCTCTCTCCACCTTGAGCACCATTACCACCCCCACACCATCACCACCAGGACTCCTCTATCACCATTGCCTAGCTGCCACGACCACTACCATCTGACCAACAGTCCATCACTGCCAGTATATCATCACTGCCACCTAGCCAACAATACCAAGCTGCGACCTCTGCCTCCACTGTACCACCACCATTACCACAGTACCGCACCAGCTAATTCACCTCGCCGCTGATTAGCCACCACAACCACCATTACCATACCACTATAACCGTCGCCTCTGCCTCCCTTCCACCACCACCACCACCACTTCCCCACATCAGTACTACCAAAACACCACCGCCCATCCACCTCCACCACCAATGCTGATTCACTATTACCACCTCTATTGCCACCAATATTGTCATCACACAACGATGGCAATGACCACAACCGCTAGCCCACCCACCACCAACATCACACTGTGACTACCGTTATTGTCAAATTATACTACCACTATCACACTCACAATACACGGCCACCAAACACAACATAATAACAATTTTATCAAGAAAATCAAGCACCCATTGAGAGCAAATGATAGTTGACGAAATTGCCATTTGGCCAATTACAAAAGTTATTTTGGCCAATTTTGTTCAAGTTTTCAAATTATTTTTTATCAATCTGTCATCCATTGCCTATCTTCATAAATGGAAAAATGAGCTGCTGGCATACTTTAAAGCAGAGCAATGGTTCATCTCTACCATCCATTTGATGAGTAAACGTGGGTGGCCGATCTGTGTGCCGTAAACCATTAACACACTTACGGAAGTTTCCACTCCAAAAACCAAAAACTTCTAAGAATTGCATAGCAACAAGAAGAGTGCACCTCACAAAAATGAGAAATGTGCACTTCCACAAACCCCTCAAATGGAAGCGCTAGCTTCTCAAAGAATGAAAACTGCACATTTCTCATGTTACCTCGCCTTTTATTTTATTTTTTCAAATCATATCAAACTTCAAGTTTTGGTGTGAGTTCAACTCATTGGAGCCCATCTGTAAAAAAAAAAAAAAAAATTCTATAAATTAAAATATCCAAAATATCCCTTAAAAAATTTGGAATATTTTAGTTATTTTATTTTTTCAAATTATTTTTAAAATATTTTTACATTTACATGTGATTCAGAAATATAGATAATCAAATCCAAGCTTAATCCAATACATAGAAAAATTAAAATACTAAAAAACACACTCACTTTCAAATCTCCAAGTTTTGAAACCTCTAGGTTTATCAAACGTAGATTTCCATAATCCCTAAGAATTACAGATAGGTTACTAAACAACATTTTCCATGTTCACGTATCAAATCTTGCATCAATCTTCCAGCTTCCAAACTCGCATAGTCCCCAATTTTCCAGCTTCCAATTCTCAGACACCCTAAGGTTTCTACCAAAATATCCTACCGAGTTGCTTCTTGATTGTTTAATAATGGTCAAAAGGATAAATTTGAAACGCCTATGATGAAACTAAACATACCACCTCCATTTTCATGTTTACTTTCTTCTTTTTGCACATGCCCCATTAGCAAGTAGGACATACCAACAGCAGAGTGTAGTACTCAACAGAAGTTTGAAAGATTAAAATTCCAATAGGAATACGAATATTCCATAACTCAAGCACATTCATTAAAAAGAATTTGAGATCCATCATTATTCTCTTGCATAGCACAAAGCATTAAGGATATCACCACCCGGATCACAAGCAACAACAACATAATGTATCCTTTCCCTGAAATTTCCATTCCCTTCTCAATACATTATTACACTGTACACCCACACCGTTGTATTGTTATTCACAAAGATAAGAAGTGTGTGATGGATCAAAACCTATCCCACCAAAATAAAAAATTTGAAAGGGTTTCTTTCTCATCCAGCTTCATAGTAATGCACTAATATATTAGTGATCCATGTATACTGTTTACTCTTACTACCACTGAATCATTGGTAACTTCCGTACCCGTTGAACTTCATATGACCTTGCGATCCCAAGGATATGGGCGTACAGATCAATTTATGTTTATATTGTATCACCCAACAAGGTGGTGTATGGAAGCCAAAGGTGTTTATCAGTCATTGTTTCTTGTTCTTAATTTGATGATGGCCATCATCTACATGAAGCGGTCGCCATCGTCATCACCTGCATGGCTTCAATTTCAAATCATGATTTTCAGGAGGCCCTTGAGAAAAGCCCAAAAATCTATCATACCCTTACATCCCTAGTTTTAAGAATATACATACCTTTTACGCTTGCTTTTGACAGCAGAAGATGAAGAAGGGTTGCTATGCCAGTTCCTCTTTCTCTGGTTGATAAACCAATTATTGATCTGCTTCAATTGCAAACCCGTTTCCTGCACTAGCCTTACCTTTTCATCCTCCTGAGAATCAAACATTACGAGGAATTAAGGGGCCATCTTCTACGATAAGAACAACTATTAAACAGCCCATGCGACATAATAAGAGTAAACAGCCCGTGCGTTGCACAGAATTTTAAAAATTCGATCTAATAGAATAATTAATAATAAACCAAACACCATTATCATCATAATTTGAACCTTATCCCAACTATTTGGAGCTAATAAATCAAACACAAATAGACAAAATATAATTTTGTTACAATAGAATGAGAGACATGTGAAGAAAGAGAGCAACCATTGCTCAAAATCAATACTAAACATCGATATTACAGTAACGTACATGTGTATACATCACAATAATGTACATATGTATATATTATACATATAAATTTATAATACTTAATTTACCATTATGCATTATACACATAATTTACCATTATATTATGATAATTATACAATTCTAATTAGTAACGCATCATATTATTATAAGGGATTGTCTATAAAGAGCCCCTTTATCTTTTGTACAAGGATGTCACAATCACTCTTGCCCCTTAAATTTCAAAATGGGTGGTTGTAATAGTATCATTGAATAGATAAAAAATAGGTAGTTGTAATAGTATCATTGAATAGACACAAAGTTCCAAAAAAAACAAATTTCTGGAACTTGGATGACTCACCTTAAATCATCCAATTTGATATCTAATGAGTGGGAATAGTTGTGACCTCCTTGTAATAAATCTTAATGGTCTCTTTGTAGACAATCCCTTATTATATTACAATTATAACTAATTCAACTACAAATACTATTAATTTTATTGGAACTAAATAATTAAATTATATTTGAGATTGAGATGAGAGGTCCTAAAAATAATGTGCATGCTTATCATATAAGACAGAATGGACCCTATCTCCAAAGAGAGAGATTCATAAAAATAATGTGTAAGAGATAGAGGAGATAAGAGGGAAAGAAGTCCTGAAAATAATATGCATGAGAGAATAGAGAGACGTGGTACATCTAAATTTAATAAAGAGAGACATTTATGGTGTGGAGGAGAGAGAGAGAGAGAAAGATAAAGAGAGAGAGAAAGAGAGAGGGCATGAGAGGGAAGGGGTGTAGAGAGACAAAGAGGGGGAATACGGAGAGAGGGAAAGAGACTGCTATGGCGAGAGAGGGAGGATAGGAGAGAGGAAGGTGTGAGATAGTTACGTAGGGGGAGCAAGGTAGTTTTCTTTTTCAAAACCTCATAAAATCTTGAGAAAGTATAAAATTAAAGAAATATCTCCTAAAATTAAAAAAAATGAGGAAGAGAGAAGTTTGAAGTATGAGTTAATACATAGATATGCATTAATTAATAAAAACAAGAAATCTTAAAATTGGAGAGAGTTATCATATTAAATAAGAGAGAGACGGTCTTTAATGCATTAATTACTAAAAGAAAGAGTAACCTTAAAATTGGAGAGAGTTATCATATTAAATAAGAGAGACGGTCATTAAAGAAAATCATTAAAGAAAAAAACTAAGAACAAAGCAAGAATTACTTAAAAAACAAAAGGACAAAAGACGAAGAGAAAATGACATTTGTCGTGAAAATAATAAGGGTCTTCTGCTCGCTTAATATATAATAATAATATAATAGATATAGTATTTTACATCTAAAGCTAGTGGCACCATAATCCAATGAGCAACAATAAGGTATAGTCTAAGGATCTCTAGGGTCATCATCATCAATGTTACCTAGATATGTACATGGGTTTCTAATTCCAATGAGCACCAAGTATCCAGTACTTCGGACTAGAAAGCAAATCGGTAAGACATATCCATACCATCAACATTTTATACTTATCCAGCAGACTTCTAATGTATATATAATAAATATTTCATATTTATCACATAAATATGGCTAGTACAGCAATAGACCATACAAAATTGGCACATGCGATACATGATTCTTCATGTCGATATGGTGTCTATGCATCAACACATGTCAAAACATGTACTTCAGCAAGAATGAAGTGTGAGGGTAACATAAATCATCATTTATGATGCACGGTGATGGATAGAGAACAGGGCCCACAGGTATAGAACAAGACCCCAATGGTGGTCCACTCTCAATGACTGGCCATTCCATGAGATGATAACACGAAAGGGCTATGGTTTTCCATGGCGGATTGAATTATAGTATGGTTTACTTGCAAGTGATTGAGAGTTAAGCTCAGTTTGAAATTGCATACTTTAGTAAGTAATCTGGGTTTGAACTTGCATCCTCAAGTTTGAGGTAACTAGAGGCTTCCAATTGAGCTATAAGGTCAAACTCCCTATAAGACTGGACTTACTGTTGGGTATGGCCACTTGGAATGCGACTGCCACCAAGCCTTTAAAAGTGATGTTGTATCTCCAGGAAGTTTTCCAGCTCTTCTTTTGCGCAAAATTTCCTCTCTTATGTCTACTATCTTCTCTTTATAGCCCTGTGAAACCATACATAGTAGATTAGAAAACTTGAACCTGAAAATGGTACCAAGCATCCTTAACAAATAATTAAAAATTTTAATACTGAAAAGATGAATTCATCTCCAATTATAAATGTCAAAAGATTCTATGTTCCCGCAAAGAACCTCTGTTTACTAAGACTTCGAAGTCCTAGTAAACAGAGGTTCTTTGTGGGAACATTGAGGATGTAACGTCATCACCCTTGCAATCTACCTCAAAAAAAGGAAAATTTCAAATGCACTTCGTGCTAAAAAACTCTTTACCCTTGCAATCAACCTCAAAAAAAGGAAAATTTCAAATGCACTTCAAGTGCTAAAAAAATCTTTACCCTGCAATCAACCTCAAAGAAAGGAAAATTTCAAATGCACTTCACGTGCTAAAAACAATAACGACCTAAGATTAAACAAAGGCCCTCCAATTTTTTTAAGGGCCAGATCTAAGTGTCTACGAACTCAAAATTTTGAAAGAAAAAACAACAATCACCTAGAGATTTTTAGGTGGACCAAAAAATCTCAGATCGAAAAAATCCCTCCTAAATATCACCAAGTAATTTTTTCAGGGCCAGATCTTAGTGTCTACGAACTCGAAATTTTGAAAGAAAAAACAACAATCACCTAGAGGTTTTTAGGTGGACCAAAAAATCTCAGATCGAAAAAATCCCTTCTAAATATCACCAAGTAGCTCTTTCACCAAAAGAAATAAGTTTACAGTGTGCCCTAGAAGGGCAGCTTTACATGCTCATTATAAATGATGACAACCATCGACAAATGCAAATAACAAAAATACCTAGATGAACCTATGTTGATAGACATAAAGATATGACTGAAGCACTCAGTTTGGGCTAACACCAATAATGTAAAATAACTGTCCCTTGGACTCATCTCGACCAATGAAATAGACAATGATAGAGAATGAGACCCACCAAATAGGACATGACTTCAATGGTGAGCCCCCACTCTCTCTCTCT